ATAGAGTGATTTTCTTTTTAAGATCAAATGATCAGAAAACAAGGTCAAGGTCGAGATTGTTTTGTTTTGTTTTTCATCATTTACCCAACCCAAGAAGGCTGAGTGTGGCCATCTTTCGAAAATTTTTTTTCACTGGTGTGTTTCAATTTATTTCTGATTGATTACATAGTATTCATATAACAAGTATCTTGGAAGAGCTCAAAAAGGTTGACCAGCATCCTAATAGTCTATCATAAACAATTTAGTGAGGTGGCATTTCCTTTTTAGATTTATAATAAATTGTGATGAGTAATATAAGCTACCAAAATATTTTAGAAAGAGAAATAAAGATAACTGAGGTGATTTCTTTTCATCTATTCTTCAGGAATGAATCACAACTTCCAAAAGAGAATTCTCTCTTTATGTGTTAGATTATTAATTTAACAGTAACTTCTTTGGCTAAACGATTTTTATGGCAGATGATTGACAGCATTTTTTATAAAAGTGAATGGCTTTGTAGAAGATTAATTACTGAATAAGTAAATCAGTGTTTTAAACATACATAAAAGTAGGTAATACTTATTTGCTTTGTGAAACTCTCCTTATTTTCTTAAGGGATTCACTTAAAGTTTTAATAATTACTGGACTCCTCCATTATGTTAAATTAAAAATTAAAATGTATTTTTAGATTTTTAAATCAATCATTGTTATCAACTGAGAGTATGTGTCCCCCTAAAATTTACATTAAAATCCTAGACCCCAATAAATTGGTATTAGGAGGTGGAGGTCTTTGGGAGGTGATGAGGTCATCGAGGTAGAACCTTCATGAGTGGGATTAGTGCCCTTACAAAAGAGATCCTAGAGAACTCTCTCACTCTTTCTGCTAACATGAGGACACAGTTAGAAGACGGCTGTCTATGAACCAGAAAATGGGTCCTCATCAGACTCTACGCTGCCAGGACCATGATGTTGGACTTCTCAACCTTTATAACTATGAAAAATTAATGTTTATTGTTTAAGCCACCTATTCTATGGTATTTTTTGTTTAGCAGACCAAATGGATTGTTAGTCACTGATTCTTCAAAAATTCCTGTCCTATATAAGAGTGCATGCTATCATAAATTCGGTTTTTAATATTAATTAGAATGATTGAGTTGAATGTGAAAAAGAACATCATTACAGAACACATTTTATGTTATCAACTTTTGCAGAAAACAATCCACTGAAGGTTTAATAATAATATCTCTTTGTATAATTATCTTATTTCCTTTTATATACAGCAAAGAGAAAAGTTGGTAACACTGTAACTTGGTTTGTACTTGTTAAAGAAGTAAGGCCTGGTGTCCTTAAGCAACTTAGAACCAAGGCAGGAGCACAGGCACTGAAAAATATAAAACAATGAATGCACTACTAAGGAAAGTGTTTTCCTACACCAGAGAGGGGACATTTACTCTTGGACTTTGGAAGTTATCATCATTTACATCATTTACAGTCCTCAGGGGACACAGTTTTTCACATTTCAGGCACAAAATTGAAAGTGCCTAACTGTTTGCTTCTCTCCTCCCTACTGAGCTCTGTGTGTTTTTGTTAAAGGAAGCATTAAACAACCTGTCAGCATATACATGTTGGATTATGGGCTCTGATTACATGGAGGGGCTCTGGCCAGTACAAAAAGACATTGCTGGAAACTTAGAGGCAAGAGAATAAGTGTAACTTAACACTTACTGACTTGGAGACTCAACTATAGTTCTCTTTATTAGTGTTTAATACTGCAGACCTGTTGTTTTTAATTTTCTGAGTACTGACAACCCACTGTGCTTAAACAGCAGCTCTTAATCAGAACACAATAATTAGATAGTTAGAACCTGCATGATACTTAGATATTCAAAGGGCTGTACTGCACAGAAACAAGTTCACAAGGCTGTTTCTGTTTTCTGTTTCATATTATTTCTCTTTAAGTATTATCATATGGATACATTTTATATTTTGCTTGTATCAATCATTCAGTACATAGTAATATAAGTGAATGTCACACATATCACACTCAAGTACTATGACAGAATAACAGTTTAAGAATAAAAATTCAATAAGGGACTAACATAAAAAATTTCAAATACAGAAATACAGCATATTTAAGAAGGAGGGAAAACCTGCTTAGTTGGCAGTCCCTTTAATTTCCAGGTAATTTCACTGGTCTATACCCTGAAACATCTCTAAATGTGATTGTGACAAATGTCCAGTTGTTCTACATCACAGGATGAGAATCAAGTTTTTACTGACAGAATCCCTTAGTTAATGCTAATCCTTTCTAACAAAGGTTTGGGTGAAAAACTCTTTAGAATATAGTCAGTTACTATTGTCTATTTCTGTTTTATCTATATCTATTCTTCTACAGATATTTATCTATATCTATTATCTATATCTATTTTTTCTAAACTCTACTTTGACACTCTGTCCTCCTCTGGATAACTACCTTTCTCTTTTTATTAACAAGCTCCTAGAAAAAATAATAAAATATCTTTCTTCTTCCATTCCATTTATTCTTCCTCAAAAAGTTACAATATTTTTTCTTCCTGTTCTTACTGTTCTTCTGAAACTGCTGGTCGACCTTTTGTAGCTTTGGTGATGAACATATACTCCTTTTGGAAACTCTGTGGGTTTGGTGACATTTTCCTCCTCGTTCTATTACCAATTTCTTTACCCTTTAACCATTTTGGGAGCCTCTTCTTCTTTAGCCCAGTCTTTGCTGATCCCCAGTCGTTAATCCTCTCTTCTCTCATTCTGAAAAATCAATCCAACCAGGGATGTGGCTACCATTATCACCTGTATAAAGCTTCCCATAGCCATGTAGTCAGAATCTCTTAAAAACTCAAGGCCCGTATTTCAAATGACTTACTCTATATCACAATGTCCCATTGATAGGATGATATGCAGCAGGAATGAACTGATGCAATAGATTAACGAATGAGTGGTCATGGCAAACCAGCTGGTAATATTTGAAAATTATCTCTACCCAAAGTTAATGCATATACAAATATGAACTTGACATTTTTATAAATAATCTTGTGATCCCCATCTAATGTAAGACACTATAAATTCTCTACTTACATAAGCCAAATTGATCATTCAAATGCCAATGTTTCTTTTTTTTTCCCCTATAACTATTACAAGCTCAATAGCTTTCATAGTCATGCTCTCACCCTTACTGTCACAACACCATTTCTTGTTTGATTAGTCCTGTTATAACTTTATCAATTCTTGACCTGTAGTCTAAACCCCTCCAATGCTGTACTTCAGGTGCTTTAGAGTAAAAACTACATAAGATCACTACTTGTTCAAATTTCTTACATGGCTCCTATCGGCACTAGTATAAAAACAGATAATACTTTATATTTTGTACAGGATCCAGGTGTTCAGGCTCCTGCTCACTTTTCCAACATCAAGTCTTCCTTCTGTTCAGTTCACATCAAACTCCATGCCTCCACAATTAGTGAGTTATTTCTACTCCCACTCTCTCTCTAGTAGGTCTTTCCATTACCTAAGCCCGTGTGTGTGTGTGTGTGTGTGTGTGTGTGTGTGTGTGTGTGTGTGAATGACAGACATTTTGTCTGCCTGGAATGACAGGCTACATATTATTTACCTAGTAGGTACTTGACCATCCCTCACATCTATGTCTTACTACAAACTCCCTTCTTCCCCCAGGGAGACTAGGAAGCTTTATTTTCTATTTTTCTATATAGCGCCTATCTCCTCAGTAGAGTAATAGCTCCTTGAGTCTTGAGAGCTTGCAGTTAATTAATTTATGCCCACAGATTTTAAATTCTATGTGAGAACTCATCTTTTACTTGGGAAATATATATAAATCTGTGAAATAAGAGTCCAATCCACATACAAATGACTAAAGATTAATTTATGTAAATGTTTGGAATCCTATCATCCATTCTTTAATTTACATTTACAAGCTATTTTTTGAGCACCTACTATGTGACAGAAACTGTCCTTGCCTTGAGGTATAAAAAGGTAAAAAAAAAAAAAAAACTTTCTACTCTTATAGAGCTTATAGTCTTGTTATTTCTAGGGATAAGTCAATGAAGTACATTGCTGTAGAAAATGTCACAAAACTATAACGAAGTAAAGCTGAATTTAAAATAATGTCTGCATGCTTAGAGATAAAGAATTCCCTTATTTCACTGAAGGCATATGTGTCATATCAACTATGCAAGTGATTTTTGTTCTTTACGTATATTTGCTTTGAAGTTTTTTAGCTTACCTAGAGTAGATTTATACCCAATTTATATTACTTGTGAGGCTTTGAAATAATAGCATTTTAGATCTACAATATTTTAAACATAGTATGTTCAAATATGTAAACTACAATAGTAAATACAGTAACATAAAAGATTCATAAGTGTAATAAGCTATTGGTACGCTTAACAAGCAACCTTAAATTGTGAAAGTAATTCTCTGTAATAACGTAAAATGGAGCCAATAATCGATAGCATTTAAGTCAGCATGCAAGCTCTTATCCAAAAATATAGGTTAATAATGAAGACAATAAGCTAATTATCTAAATGGAAATTTAAAGAGCGAGTTGGCATATCCACAAACCTCTGCAGAAAACATTTTTACATTTTAATAACCCAATATGAAGTGGAAACTGGGAATGGTCTTCTAATTCCATTTCTTGAATCAGATTTGTGGTGTGTTCTTGAGCTGACCCACTCATATATCCAGTGAAATCACTAGCATAGGAGTAAACAAAAGCCCATATGCAAAAGCCCATAATCAAGTATGATGCACATGCATAGCCATAAGGTGGGAACACAGTCGGATAACCAAAGCAAGTCTGTACAGTGAGAACAGCACACTTTAGTGTACTTCAGGAGGAGGTCTTAGTAGAAATGTTCATACTCTATTTTGAAACCATGAAGGCAGCTCCACTAACCAGGAAACTTTTATAAAATTTTCCAATTTTTTTTCATAAAATGACATAATATATTTTAATATATCAACAGAAATACCTGGTTTGTCCCATGAGAATACGGAAATCCACCAATAAACACAGATCCTGATTCTAGCAAGGGTTTTCCAGATGTGTGATTGAGAGATTCACTTGCTTTCACAGTCTTTCCTAGAAGAGTCAGTGCAGCTCGACACGGATCAAATTCTTGCCTGCAACCATTTAGGAAAAAGAAATATGGTTTTAGCATGTGGTGTATAAACATTTGTCTGACCAATTAATTAAGCTATTAACAAAAGAAGAAAGATTTAAGTAAACAGATAATCTCACCATAAAGCCAACAAAGCCAGAAGTAGATCAATCTGTTCTAAATTAGAAACCCTTAATGTTTTAAGTACGTGAATGCAAATGCAAAGTTAAATTTTGACAAAACAACAAATTGTGGCAATCACTTATTGAAATAAATAAATCCTGATAATAAACAGAACATTCTCATCAGTGTCTAAAATGACATTAAGAACATAATATTCTACTTCAGTTTTTTACATTGTTTAATTTTCTGTGTGAGTGAAAACTATTGAAAATAATTGGGTTTAAATATGGTTATCAAGTGTACAATATATCTTTGACTACAGGAGTGAATGTGTGTATGTTCCCAGGCACTCTATTTTATTGGTCTATGTTTCTACCCCTGTACCAATATCACACTGAAATACTCATACTTTTTATTAAGTCCAGATATTTGCAGTGGAAATCCTCTTACTTTGTTCATCTTTTTGAATTGAGATTATCAAAATATCTTCTCCTTTTTTTGTCTTTATTATAATGAATTATGCTGGTTTTTAAATATTTGAATGCATTCCTGATATAAATCTACTTGGTCGTAGATGTATGTTGATTTTATATAACACTGGATTCACTTTTCTATATATTGAAGAATATATATTATATATATATGTTATATATATATATATATTAGAGTGATTGGCCTCAGACCTCCTCTCTTGTATTGCTCTTATAAAATTTTTGTGTCAAAATTATGCTGTCCTTATATTATTTCAGAAAGTTTATGTAATACTGATGTTATCTCTAGTTTTCATTATTTGTTGAATTCACTAGTACAGCCCACTGGACTTGGGGTTTTCACTGAGGAAGTTACTAAGTAAGGATTCAATGTATTTAATTAATGCAGATATCTATGCATTATCATGTCCATTTTATTAAATTCTATTTTTATAGAAACATTTTCATTTAACCTGAATTTTCAAAATTATTGGCATATTTTATTTACCTAAAATATTGGCACAAAATATATTTATGCCAAATATTATTGCCAATAAAAATATAATTGGTGTTGGGAATCTAACAATGTCTCTCTTGTAATATTGGCTGTTTGTACCTTTTCTCATTTTATTTGTTTTGTAGCTCAATCTTGGTAGAGAGTGGCAAATTTCTAAGAACACACTTTTGGCATTGTTGGTAGTTGCTATCCTATGTTGTTTTCTTTTTTTTTTTTTTATTAAAATTTTTTTTAATGTTTTATTTATTTCTAGGAGAGAGAGAGAGAGAGACAGCATGAGCAGGGGAGGGTCAGAGAGAGAGGGAGTCACAGACTGAAACAGGTTCCAGGCTCTGAGCTGGCAGTCAGCACAGAGCCCGACGCGGGGCCCGAACCCACGAACCGTGAGATCATGACCTAAGCGAAAGTCGGACGCTTAACCGACTAAGCCACCCAGGCTCCCCTATCCTATGTTGTTTTCTACTCCATTAGCTTTTGTTCTTATTTTTATTATTTTCTTCTTTTCACTTTCTTTGGGCTTAATTTACTCTCCTACGTCTAGGCTGTTTAATATAAGCTCTCAAGACTGTATTTTCTAAGAATAAATTTACCTATATACAAAAAGTTCTTCCTCATCATCTATTGAAAATATTTTCTAATTTCTTTTGTGATTTGTTGTTTTTTGTGTTGTTTTGTTGTTTGTGATGTTGTTTTGGCCCAAATTTTACTCAGAACTGTACAGAGACTTCTTGGTTATTTTTTATATTATAAAATATTATAAAAGCACAAATTAAGCTTAATCAAAGAATATTCTGTTTCCTTCTAATTCTTGAAATTTATTCACTTAAGCTGCATAGCCCGGCATATGGTCAATTTTAGTAATGTTCTCATGACCCCAAAAAGTCTCTTCTGTATATGTGAATACAAATACACACACACACACACACACACACACACACACGAGTTTACACACTTTTGTAGTAAGTAAAGAATAAGAACAATGAAATAAAACATGTATATGATGTATGTACACTTTTTTCTTAAAAAATATCTGGAGATTTTTTTGCATCCTCCTTATATCTAATTCATGATACAAAGTGAATAAAACTAAGACCAGGTATAGCCATGGAAGCCACTATTAATGCTATGACAAAGAAAGTTTTGAAGAGTTTTTGAAAGATCATGCTGTTCTGTATATTAAGAACATGGAAGAAAAGTGTGCTGAACATTTTTAGAATCCATTTGATATTCTTGGATGCTGTATTTAGAAGCAAACTAGAAGCTTTCTGGGTTAATTACCTCTTACAATTAAGCTGTTAAAAATATCTTAGGGAGGATATAGCTTCTAGGAAGTTATTCATTAAATGATAAAAATAAAAAGCACAACTACTTTTCTCTGTCAATCTTTAAAATTTTATGTTTGGAAAAATATTTCATACTGTTTTGTGATATTGAAATAGTATTAGCAATTATTCACTAAGATTTTGTTAATGAACAAAATTTCCCATATTTCATGAAGCAAAGTAAACCCATTAAGCCATCAAACATATTTATTTGGCTATTAATTGTAGCTATAATAACTGAAAAGATAACTTAATATGTATACAATACATATGTATTCATGAATCACTTGAATAAAACCACTAAGATCTTTGAAATTTACTATTAAATTTTGTTTTTAAACATAAAACAGGGTAATTCTTTTTATCAGTTAGTTATTACAATTATATCAATAAAATATAGGTCATTAATTATATATCTACATTAAATTTTTCTGATGTGCATAATTTTCTCTTCATGTGATATATAACGTATTGTTGGATATTTAGTTTCTAAGATTTTAAAGTGATAAATATATATGTTCATACTAGTGTATGAAGTCATATCACTCTTATTTAATCAGGGGAAATGTTCCCAGAAATAAATTGTTGAATCAAATTATAGGATTTATCATCAAATTGTCGAATTACACTCTAGAAATTCTATTCCAATTAGCATCGTTAGAACGCAAAGATTTTGTTTACTTTTATATTTCTATTCACATAAGATCTATTAGTATTTTCAATATATTCTCTGCAAAACAATCCTTTCCAACAATGAAATAAAAATTTTCCTATATTTTATTTATACATGGATTTGAAGGTCACTAATATTCACAATATTTTATGTATTTGGTATATATTTCCTCACTTTGTATTTTAGAGCTCCTCAGTGTATTTAAAACCAATTATATTTCTTTAATTACTCTAGTGGGACAATTTATCTTAATTATTAGTATACCAATCATTCTCTACTAAAACTCTTCTTAAAAGATTTTTGATATTTCAGCAAGTGTATCATTTAGAATCTATTTTATCCCAAACATTGTCAGTGGCATTTTATTTTTATTTTTTTAATAGTTTATTGTCAAGTTGGTTTCCATATAACACCCAGTGTACATGCCCACAGGTGCCCTTCTCCATGCCCATAATGCCCCTTCTGCTCCCACCCACCACATCTGCCCTCAGTTTGTTCTCGATTCAATAGTCTCTCATGGTTTGCCTCCCTACCCCCAACTATTTTTCCCCTTCTTCTCACCCATGGTCCTCCATTAAGTTCCTCCTAATCCTCCTATACGTGCAAACATACGGTATCTGTCCTTCTCTCCCTGACTTATTTTGCTCAGCATAACACCCTCAAGTTCCATTCATGTTGCTACACATGGCCAGATTTCATTCTTTCTCATTGCCATGTAGTATTCCATTGTACAGATAAACCACATCTTCATCCATTCGTCTGTTGATGGACACGTAGTCTCTTTCCATGTTTTGGCTATTGTAGAGAGTGCTGCTATGAACATTGGGTACATGTGCCCCTATGCATCAGCACTCCTGTATCCCTTGGGTAAATTCCTAGCAGTGCTATTGCTGGGTCATAGGGGAGTTCTACTGTTAATTTTTTTGAGGAACCTCTACACTGTTTTCCAGAGGGACTGAACCAGTTTACATTCCCACCAACAGTGGAGTAAGATGCCCGTTTCTCCACATCCTCGCCAGCATCTAGAGTCCTCTGATTTACTCATTTTCACCACTCTGACTGGTGTGAGGTAGTATCTCAGTGTGGTTTTGATTTGTATTTCCCTGATGAGGAGGGATGCTGAGCATCGCATCGTGTCTTTTGACCATCTGGATGCCCTCTTTGGAGAAGTGTCTGTTCATATCTTCTGCCCATTTCTTCACTGGATTGTTTGTTTTTTGGGTGTGGAGTTTGGTGAGTTCCTTATAGATTTTAGATACTAGCCCTTTATCTGATATGTCATTTGCAACTATCTTTTCCCATTCTGTCAGTTGCCTATTAGTCTTATGGATTGTTCCCCTTGCCATGCAGAAGCTTTTAATCTTGATGAGGTCCCAATAGTTCATTTTTGCTCTTGATTCCTTTCCCTTTGGGGATGTGTCAAGTAAGAAATTGCTGCAGTGGAGGTCAAGGAGGTTGTTTCCTGCTTTCTCCTCTAGGGTTTTGATGGTTTCCTATCTCACATTCATGTCCTTTATCCATTTTGAGTTTATTTTTGTGTATGGTGTGAGAAATTGAACTAGTTTCATTCTTCTGCATGTTGCTGTCCACTTCTCCCAACACTATCTGTTACAGAGGCTGTCTTTTTTCCATTGGATACTTTTTTCTGCTTTGTCAAAGATTAGTTGGCTGTACACTTTTGGGTCCAAATCTGAGTTCTCAATTCTATTCCATTGGTCTATGTGTCTGTTTTTGTGCCAATACCATACTTTCTTGATGACTTCAGCTTTGTAGTAGAGACTAAAGTCTGGGATGGTGATACCTCCCATTTTGGTTTTCTTCTTCAATATTACTTTGGCTATTTGGGGTCTTTTGTGATTCCATACAAATTTTAGGATGGTTTGTTCTAGTGTTGAGAAGTATGCTGGTGCAATT